GGAGATTGTATGTAACTCGCGTTTGTTGGAGGGAGTCGGCGCAGCGAAGGCGGAGGCAGTGTGTAGCGGTGTGTAGCGGGTGTGGGCTGGTATACTCGCCCGCGTGTGCGTGCGAGGCGCACCCCTCCCGTGTCCGCCAGGTCTCTGTCTGTCCCTCTCTCTTTGCCTGTGTCTCTCTGAAAATGTCTCTACAACCTGTTTGTCTCTGTCTTGGTATCTCTCTGTGTGCGTCTCGGGTCCTCTCGGCGTCTCTGTGTGTTTATTTCTGAGTCTCTCTAGATGTCTCTCTCTGACCCGCCGCAGTCCTGCATTCGCCCCCCTCCCAACCGGGTTAGGCTCGGGGACGTGAGGCCGCGGCCGGGGGCTGCGCAGCTTCTGAGTTCGCGCTGGGGGCTGCTGCAGGGCGGACCATCACTGGCGGGGACGCGGGGACTGTTGTTGCGGCTCCGGATGAGAAAGACAGGCAGCCCATGCCAGCGGGCCGTGTGCCGGGGAGGGGGGCGGGGAGCTGCTAGAAACAAAAAGGGAAGTCATCATAATTAATGAATGTCATAATTAACCCTAATTATGTATGATTGCTACTCCTGCGGGAGTCACAATGAATAAATTATTCCCCAAGGAAGTCAGGCGGAGCGCAGACTCCTGGCGCTGAAGGCGGTGGGGTGGGGGAGAACACTGCTCACATTCCCCCCCCCCCCGCCACGCCTCTATTCTGCCTGCTCCCTCCCCGAGTTCTAGGTGCTGACCCGCAAGAAGTTCTGCAGGAAGCGACCTGAGCGGGGGACCTGGGGATGGGGAGAGAAGAAGGGGCAGTGCTCTCTCTGCCCACCCCCACCCCCCCAGATTTCAGGCCCAGACTACTCTCTCCCTTTCCACCCTGGTAAATTGTTCCCACCAGGCTTCTGTTACCCAGATGAGGAGGGGGGCAGTCAGGACCAGAAATGGGTGGGGTCTTTGGCTCCCCCTGGTATCACTGGCTCATTTATAGCTCTTTCCAATGCCCGTCTTCCTCCTAATTCTGTCTTGACCGCCCCCAGGATATGAGGTTAATTCAAGGTCAAGGTCTTCAAGGGAGTGACCAAGGGAAGATGAGTAGGACCAGAGTGGCTGGTGTCTGGCTGAGGCACCCCAGGTAGGCTCCCCATGCCTAAATCAAAGCGACCCGGTGGGTCTCCACAGCCAAGTCTTCAGATTCACACTTGACCTTCTCCCGCTCCCTTCTGAGAACTAGACCTTGGGCTCTCAGACCACAGAGGTACCTCCCCCTCAGAGAGCCAAGTCTACTGGGAAAGGAATGAGGTGTTGGGGGGCAGAATATTGCTTGGAATATTTGTGACAGCTTCTTTCAAGCAGAAGATCCCCATCCTGAGGGAACTGAGCCCCATGCTGAGTTCCAGCGCCCCTGAGCTTCACAGCCGCCTTCTAGTCACCCTGGACAGACACACACAAACTTCTTGCTTGCTTCCAGGGGATTGAGGGCCTCCCAGGTCCTGCCCTGATTCCCACACCACGGCCTGGCCACTCAGCCCCCTCCTTAAGAGTTCTCCAGAGCGGGCAGGAGGGCTAGGCAGTGCTGCCTCAGCAGTCAGCAGGCTGCAGGCTCAGCTGTGTGGGGAGGGGTGGTCAGGGCCTGGCAGGTCTGTACCTCCTTCCTCCCAGCCCAAGGACTGTCCCATGCCATCACCTCTGGGTCTGAGCCATGGAGATCTGAGGAGCAGGGAAGGAATGGGAGTGTACACCTGACCTGGTCCCTCTGTGCCAGGCCAGTTGGAGCCCTGCCCCTTTGCCGCCCTCCCCTGTACCTCATTTATGAAGGACTCAGTAATAACAGCACAGGCTGGATTGCAGGTCCGGGGGAAGGTACTCAGGAGGGCAGAGGTGGGCAGAGAGAGGATTCAGAACACTTGCCAGCCTCCTTCCATTCCCCCACCTCAACTTGTCCCAAAGTAGCTTCTGTCTTCAGACTGTAGAGGTGGAGAAGAGGAAGGGAGAGGGTCGGTGCTGCCCACCCAGCTCAGTTTGAGGCAGGTACAACAGAGGTGGCTGGTGTACTTGTCTTCATTAGGCAGTGAAGTCAACATTCCAGACCTATTCATCAGTGTTTGGGGCTCCCTGGGGATTTCTTGCCAGCCCAAGTCCAGCCTCCTGCTCACCCTAAAGTCGGGTTTCACTCCGGCACCCAAGCTACTCAGCCACCCTCCCAGTGTCAGCATCGCCCTCTCTGGGTCCCCATCCCATCCTACTACATAGGTCCTGCCAGCACCCCCTTTGCTGCCATCTTTGGAAAGACCCTGCCATGCCAGCTCTGCCATCTGAGTCAGCTTGTGTCACATCTGCCACCACCCTCTGCCAGCTGCCTAGTGCCATTTCAGGAGCTGGCAGGAGCTGAGGAAGGAAAGGACTGTCCAGGGTGTGGAGAGGTGAGGAGGAGGCAGGCAGGCCAGGTCCTGCCTCCAGGAGGGGATTCAGAATAACAGGTCTGATGGTCCAGGCTCCAAGCCAGACAAGCTCCTGGTGCTTTGGGAGGGAATGGGGTCCAGGTGGGCCAGCTTGCCAGGGTGTATGGTGACTTCTTCTCACACCAGGGAATGGGTCCTGGGACAGTGGGGGCACCAAAAAGATAGAGGGTGGGGAGGTAGAGAAAGGTCTTCTCTGGGAACTAGGAGTCCCAGGAATGGAAATACCTGGCCAGGCTGAGCCCAAATGAGGTTTGGGTGGCCAAGCCAGATGTCTCTGGTGTGGGCGGGCATTAAGCCATTTGGCAGAGATGCCGTCATCTGCCCTCCAGCCACAGCCCTTGACATCTGCCAGCCACCCCAGGTGGCATTCCTTCCCACTTCTCCACCCTCCTGGGATCTGGGGCAGAGTTGGGGCTGCCCTGGTGGCAGGGAACATTCTGTTCCAGAGGCTTTTGGTGCCCTGCAGAGGTGGCTCTTGGCACTGAGGCCAGGCGGGGACCAGGAAAGGGCACAGGCTGGAGAGTAGGGAGGCTTGAAATCTCATCCTGTGAGGATTACTTTGGAAATAATGGCCTCAGGAGGGGGGAACATTATTGATGTCTTCAAATATTTGAAGAACTGATGTGTGTAAGCGGGAGTATCCCTTCCTGGAGCCAAGGGAGGGACAAGGGCCGATAGGCAGGGAGGCAGGTTTCAGCTCTAAATAGCGAAGCACTTTCCAGCGGTTGCAGCTGCCCAAAGATGGAATGACTGTCCCAAGAGAGGATGGGCTTGCCGTCACAAGAGGTGACCAACAGAGTCAGACAATAATTCAGAGGGGACATGGCCAGAGCAGTGCGGGGTGGGGACTGCTCTATGTGCCCAGTCTTTCAAGTCCCTTCTAACCCTACATTTCATGACAAGCCCATGGCACAACTGAGGGCCAGAGCTGAGGGCCAAGGCAGGGTGCTCCTGGTCACTTGGGCTCAATAGCCAAAGCCACTGGTTCAAGTCCCGGCTCTGCTACTTAGCAGCTGCGGACTCATGATGAGTGAGTGATTTAACCCCCTCAGCTCCTCATCTGCAAAGGGGGCCAATAATTGTCACCACCTCAGTGGGTCGTGCCAGGGTTAATGAGATTCTGCATATCAATTCCAGGACTCTGACAACGACAGTCCCTCATTATGTTCATAAGTTTAGGTTTTGCTTTGGGGACTTGAGCCTGTATTGCTTAGAGAGCATCTAACCCTGACTTGGAGGTGGGGAAACTGAAGCTTAGAGAGAGAGGAAGTGAAGTAACTTGCCTTCAGGCAGCAGATTGCGTTCTGCCCCCATCCCCCCAGCACATCCTCCCAGAGACCTCCTGTGCTCTGTGCCCACGGCCCCTGTGCAGAGCAGTGGGTGGTTCACCCGCCCCTCTGGGCCTGTCAGAGCCCCGAGCGCCACATAGAACATATTCGTGTTCTAATTAATTGTCCCTCTGGGCCTTGACCTCTGCCCCGATGCCCAGGCAGCTGGGGCCCGGGGCCCTGCTTCTCAGAGACACACAAAGAAGCCCACAGTGCTGGCCAGGAAGCTGGATTTGGAAGGAGCTGAGCAACTCAGCATGCCAGTCCGCCTAGGGCTCTGGCCTTTCAGCTGGCCTACCGGGGCCCGCCTTTTGCCCAAACATTTCCCCCTCCGCTTTCCCCTCTGTCATGTGGCCTGCTGGCCTCCCCAGGGCTAGAGGGGCCACCACTTCCATTCCCTTGGCACACGGGCTGCCTGGTGTCCCAGCTGGGAACCCTGGCCAAGTCTCCCCGCCTAGAGCCAGGCCTCTGCCCCCCACCTCCACCCGTTTCTTTTTTTAACTGGTAGAAAGGAATGGGAGGGGTAAGGGCTTTCAACAGGAGGGGAGTAGGGCAGGGGTCTGGCTAGAGAGGTCCAGATCTCACTCCGGGTAGAATAAGGGTGTGTTTGGGTGAGCAATGGGAATAACTCTGGCCTCACCGCAGAATCCACCGTGCACTCCAGAACACGTGCTCTGTTTAGGATTCCAGCCACTTGCTCATCATTTATTCCACAAACATTGACTGAGCACCCACTATGTGCTGAGGCCCGTTATGGGGATTTGAAGCAACTTTCCCCGCCCTCCAGGGGCTCACAGCCTCCCAGAGGAGTGAGAAGTAAAGGACAACATAAACCTGATCGGAGCTATCACGGAAGCCCGTCCAGATGCAGCCAGCCAGAGGAGGGAGTGGTCCCACCGAAGGGAATTCCTGCAGAAGAAGAGACAGCTTCCCAGAGAAGGAAGCATCACAGGAAACCCTGAAGAAGAAAGCGGGGAATAACTGGATAAGGCAAAGAGGACAAACATGTAAAAAGCTCAGAGGCATGAAACACGGATGAGTTCAAGTCCTCACATGTGGGCTCAGGTGGAGGGCCTGGGCTGGAAGGGCAGGTTTGGCCAAGTTGCAGTTTCATGGCTGGGACAGGGCCTTGGCTGGGTCCTGAGGAGCCATGAAAGGTTTTTTGCGGGGTCAGGGATCACCTCCCTGGCAGGTGCATGGAGAACAGGTGGGGATGGGCAAGGTGGAGGCAAAGAGCTATGGCCCTGAACCCGACAGGGTGCTGGAACCTGAACCAGGGCAGGGCTCTGGGGTGCTGAGGTGTTACAGGGGATGAACTGGAGAGGTGTTTTGGAGGGAGAATCAGCCCTGAGGATGAGGGTCCAGGGTGACCACTCCCCTACTCCCCGTTCAAGGACCGAGGACCTGGTGTGTTTTGGCCCCCAAAGTATTATTTTGTTAAGTCGAGTAAATGGTACCTCCATTCCGTGAAATTCCTGTGCAGCCGTACAAAAAGAATGGTGAAACCCTTTGTGTATTTGTATGGAAGGATTTCCAAGAAAAACGCAAGGCACGGGAGAAATAGTATACTACCATTTCTGCAGATTAAAAAGGAAATAAAGCCTCTTGAATTTGTTTCTAACCAATGTCACATAAAGTTCTCGGTTTCTTAACTGACTTTTTTTTTTTTTGGCTGCACGCAGCGTGCGGATCTTCCTGTGCCCCCTGCAATGGAAGCAGAGTCTTAACCACTGAACCACCAGGAAGTCCCTCTTAACTGACTTGAAATTTCATAAGTTCATGAAATGGATGAATATTTTTTATTAAAAAATTACTTTTATAAACAAAAAGTCTAGGGGTGGGGTAGGGAGGGTGGGAGGGAGATGCAAGAGGGAGGAGATATGGGGATATATGTATATGTATAGCTGATTCACTTTGTTATACAGCAGAAACTAACACACCATTGTAAAGCAATTATACTCCAATAAAGAGGTTAAAAAAAAAAAAAAAAAAAAGCCTAGGGACTTCCCACGTGGCTCAGTGGTTGAGATTCCGCACTCCCAATGCAGGGGGCCCGGGTTCAATCCCTGGTCAGGGAACTAGATCCCACATGCATGCTGCAACTAAGAGTTCACATGCTGCAACTAAGGAGCCCATGTGCCGCAACTAAGGAGCTGGTGAGCTGCAACTAAGGAAACTGCCTGCCACAACTAAGACCCAATGCAACCAAATAAATAAATTTTTTTTTTTTTTTGCGGTACGCGGGCCTCTCACTGTTGTGGCCTCTCCCGTTGTGGAGCACAGGCTCCGGATGTGCAGGCTCAGCGGCCATGGCTCACGGGCCCAGCTGCTCCACGGCATGTGGGATCTTCCCGGACTGGGGCACGAACCCGTGTCCCCTGCATCGGCAGGCGGACTCTCAACCACTGTGCCACCAGGGAAGCCCCATAAATATTTTTAAAAAACAAAGTCTAGATTTCTTTTTGAAAATTGAGAAACCTGGCAACGCTGGGCTGCCCTACAGACTAGCTCAGCTGGCTGAAGGAGACCAGCAGCTACTCGCTGACTGTCCAGTCCCCACCACTCCTAATTAGGTGCCTGTCCAGCCAGAGCTCCTTTGCTCGAGGAGGTTCCCTGCCTGGCTCTTGTAGGCACCTGGGATGGTGACCTGCCTTCTGGGACTTGGCAGCCTCTTTCTCAGTACTTCATCTCACCTCTAGCTCTCAGCCTTCAGGCTGCCGCTGGCCAAGGAGAGATCCCGGGGAGCCAGTCCCCTCCAGGCTCACAGCCCCTTTTCCTCTCTCAGCTCCAGAGGTTCAAGCGCTCACTTTCCCTCAAGAACATCCTCCGAAGTAAGAGCATGGAGAACTTCTTCTTTCGCTCGGGGTCTGAGCCCAAATGCCCCACCGAGGTGCTGCTGACGCCCCCGACCCCGCTGCCACCTCCCTCCCCACCACCAGCGTCTGCAGACTGGGGCCTACACACCCCAGCCCTGTCCCCCTGCCCGATCTCACGCCTCCTGGCACCACTCAAACCAGTGAGGCTGCACAGCTTCCAGGAACACGTCTTCAAGCGAGCCAGCCCCTGTGAGCTGTGCCAACAGTTCATTGTGGGTAGGTGCCTGGGTGGCAACAGAAGGGGTCGGGGTGAGCGTGGGTGTGGGCCCATGGACCTGACTGCCTGATGTTGGGCTGCTGCTAAACCTAACTGTGCCCCTCCCTCTGGGAGGACACATGAGCACCCTTGGGGGTGGGTGGGGACCCAGTGTTGCTGTGTTTACTAACAGCTCAGGTTCCACCCTGACTGTGTGGAGGTCGGAGCTAGGCCCCAGGCTGGCATGAGGATGCCCAGTCCCTTGCTCCCTCATGCCCTAACCTGCCTCCTTTGCTCCTTGCCCTTGGATGTAACCTCTCTTGACCACCCCCTCTTGCCAAACCCACATTCTTCCCAGGAAACTCCAAGCAGGGTTTGCGGTGTAAGACATGCAAAGTCAGCGTCCACCTCTGGTGCTCCGAGGAGATCTCCCACCAGCAATGCCCAGGCAAGACGGTGAGTGGGGACCACACAGAGATGGCTGGCTGATGCTCCCAGGCCTGGCATGTGGGGGAATGAGTGCCCTGCAGGGCTGGTTCCTCATGTGGGGTGGTGCTTGGGCTTGGGGAAGGCCAAACTCTCAAGGGGCTGTGACCTCCCTGTGCCCTCTCTCTGCCCCACCCCACCCCCTGCCACAGTCCTCCTCCTTCCGCCGCAACTTCAGCTCCCCGCTCCTGGTGCATGAGCCGCCACCAGCCTGTGCCATGAGCAAGGAGTCCCCACCCACTGGTGAGTGTCCACTGTTGCCCCTGATCCCACTGTGGTGGGATGAGAGATCCATGCACTCCTCAGAGGAGCACCTGAGTCACACTGGCACTGCCCGTTCTTGGCACGACTACCACTCCCTTCTTTTTTTTTTAGACTTCTTCTTCTTCTTTTTGTTTGTTTGTTTTGGTTTTCTTCCCCAATTCCCTTCTTTGAATGCTGCTGTCCTGAATGTAGAGTTCATTCATTCATTCATCCATCCTTCAACAAACACTTTATTGAACACCTACTAAGTGCCAGGCACTGTGCTAGACATGGGAACACAGCCCTGAAGAAGGTGGAGCTCATGGTCTAGTAAGGGAGGTAGACATGAAATAAATAATCACATAAATCATCAATTAACCATCATTTGGTGAATGCCTGAAACGGAAGGATAGGGAATAAAGAGAGGATAAAGTCGGCACCGACCTCATCCACAGAGGCAAAGAAGGCATCCGGGAGACTTGACAGATAGGGAATTAGTCTGAGGATCTGGGGAAGACCAGTGTGGACAGGAGGCAGGCCAGAGGTAGGGAGAGGCAGAGAGTTAAAGAAAGGATAATGAGGATGGGACTGAGGGAGTCAGAGTAAAAGGGTGAGATGGGACCCTGGGTGCAGGGCCTCGGGGTCCATTTTAAGAGTGTTCTTTGGACTTTATTCTTTTTTTTTTTTAATTGAAGTATAGTTGATTTACAATGTTGTGTTAATTTCTGCTGTACAGCAAAGTGATTCAGTTATACATATATATATATATTATTTTTCATATTCTTTTCCATTATGGTTTATCACAGGATATTGAATATAGTTCCCTGTGCTCTACAGTAGGACCTTGGTGTTTATCCATTCTGCGTATAAACAGTTTGCATCTGCTAATCCCAAACTCCCAATCCATCCCTCCCCCACCCCGCCTCCCCCTTGGTAACCACAGGTCTTTGGACTTTATTATAAGGTCAATTTTTGTGTTTTTACAAGAGCATTCTGGCTACTGTGTGGGTTGGAGAGGCTGGACTGGAAGCAGGGAGACCAGTTGGGAGGCCATGATGGTTGCCAGGAAAGAGTTTGGTAGCTTGGACCAGGCTGGTAGCAGTGGAGATGGAGAGAAGTGAGCAGATTCTAGAAGTGTTTGGGAGGTAGGATGAGGTGATGGAGTGAACACAGGCAGTGAGGCGGGCAAGGGGTCCAGGATGCTCCAGGTTTGTGCCTGGGCACCGTGGGAGGACACGGAGCTCTCATACCGTGAGGGAGACCTGGGAGGGGCAGGTGAGAGGAGTGCAGATTTCAGTTTAGGGCTGGCTGAGCGGGACAGCCCGCAGGGCAGCCAGGGCTGAGATGCAGGACTTCAGGGCAGAGCGAGGCTGGCAGCAGGGTGCCCGGCCCTGATGGTGACTCCTCAGTAGGGGCCAGCGGGAAGGTGGACCCCGTCTATGAGACCCTGCGCTACGGAACCTCCTTGGCCCTGATGAACCGCTCCAGCTTCAGCAGCACCTCTGAGTCCCCCACGCGGAGCTTGGTAGGTATGGGGAGCACCAAAGGGGAGCCTCGGGGGCAGAGGTCTCAGAGGGTGGGGCGTCCAGGGGTTGAGCCCTCCCCTCGCTGTGTCCCTAGAGCGAGCGGGATGAGCTGATTGAGGACGGGGAAGGCAGCATCCGCAGCTCAGAGGAGGGCCCTGGCGACAGCGGTGAGTGGGACTGGGGACCAGGGGCAGGAATGGAGCACAGTACGGGCCGCTGCCTGCTGCCTCACACCCTCGCCCCACCCTGGCATCTCCAGTATTCACAGCCCCGGCCGAGAGCGAAGGGTCAGGACCAGAGGAGAAGAGCCCTGGACAGCAGGTGAGGCTGGGCTGGCAGTGAGCCCCCGGCAGGCCAGGTGGGAAGGGGCTGTTCTTCTCCTTGTCACTGATCCCTAGGTGGGTGACAGCGTGCTGAGTGGGAGTATCCCTGTTCCATCATTTATCCTCAGTCTACAGGGATGGGCAATGCCGGGGTGAGTAGGCCCGGGAGGCAGGGGTGTTACCACTCCACTGACCCAGTGCCTACTGTGCCCACTCCTACTGCCCCAAGGGTAGGCAGTTCTAGGGTGCAGCAGGCAGAGGAGGATCCCTCTTCTCCATCCCTGGCCCAGTCCCTTCAGGGGTGTGTAAGCACGGCAGATAGGACAGTCTTCACCTCCCCTGTCATTGACCCAGGAGCACTGTGCCCCATCTCCTAGCCCCCAGGGTAGGCAAGGTCAGGGCAAGGGGAGTGTAGGTGGAATAAGAAAGGTGTCCCCCCCACAATGACCCAGAGCTCTTCCACAGGCCCCCAGGCCCCTTCTACGGAAGGATGTGGGGCCCATGTACTCCTACGTCGCGCTCTACAAGTTTCTGCCCCAGGAAAACAACGACCTGGCTTTGCAGTAAGTCCTCCAGCGGCCCAGTCCCCGCCCCGGGCAGCTGCCTGGCTCCAACCTCAGGGCTCTGTGCTCCCAGACCTTGGAACACGAGTGTGAGGGAGACCTTCAGGAACCTCCTCCTGGCACACTTGAGGCTACTGAGCCCAAAGAGGAGACAGAGGTGCCAGAGCCCAAGAGGGATTGGTGCTAATGTCATGTTTCCTGCCCCCTGCCCGGCCTCTGTCCTGGAGAGCGTCCGCCATACCTGTGGTCACTCAGGGTCCTCCAAGGGCATCGAGAACTCTCTCCCAGCTGAGGGGGGCATGCAGGGGATCTGGGGGCCTAGGACTGTTGGGATGCAGAGTGGGAGGGTCCCTCCTGCCCCACGTGCTACCTCCGCTCTCTCATCCCAGGCCTGGAGACCGGATCATGCTGGTGGATGACTCTAACGAGGACTGGTGGAAGGTGACTTGGCAGGGTGGGGAGCGGAGGGTGGGGGGTGGTAGGTACATCACTAGCCCGCACCCTCAGAGAACACAGCCCCAAAGACCTCCTCTCCTTCCTCCACCGGCCCTAGCCAGGCCTAGGCCCACCCTCAGGTCTTACTCTCACTGTGCCCCTCCCCGCCCCAGCCTTGTTCCTCCATCCACCTTGTGCCCTTTCCAGCCCAGAAGCCACCCGACTAGGGGCTCAAATACAGAGAAGCCAAATCTGGAGGATGACAGCATTGGCTCTGAGTGGGCATTAGGTCTAGAGAAAGCAGTGGGGGTCAGGGGGTGGCACGAGTGTTCATTGCCAGCCTCATCCCCAGGGCAAGATCGGCGACCGGGTTGGCTTCTTCCCAGCCAATTTTGTGCAGCGGGTGAGGCCAGGGGAGAACGTTTGGCGCTGCTGCCAACCCTTCTCCGGGAACAAGGAACAGGGCTACATGAGCCTCAAGGAGAGCCAGGTGAGGGCCTGGGCCCTGCATGGCTGGAGAGGTCGGCGTGGGAGAGAGGCGGCAAGGGTGTGGGCGAGGGCCCTGGAGGAGGATGCTTGCAGCCTGGCAGCAGGAGGGAAGGCAGGCTAGAAGCAGTGGGACTGGGAAGTTCCCTGGTGGCCTAGTGGTTAGGAGTCTGGGCTTTCACTACCGTGGCCGGGTTCAATGCCTAGTCCGGGAACTGAAATTCCCGTTAAAAAAAAAAAAAAAAAAAAGCAGCAGTGGGACTGCAGGGCTCTCCTGTCCTCCCCTCTGGGAACTGGGGTTGGCAGCTAACACAGGCAGAGGGCTGAGTTATGTTAGAGAGTCGGGGCAGGAACACTGGATTAGGAGTCTAGAGGCTCGGGTTTGAATGCTGGCTCTGCCTTTGGGTTCTTGTTAACCATGGGCAAGTCCTTTTCCCCCTGTTACCTCCTCTGTGAAATGGTAGTTTGTCAGGGGCATTAGACCAGCTGATCTCAAAGGTCAGACCCGAAGTGATGCTCTGTGTCTGCTGACTGCCTGGTCTTGCACCCTGTACTCTCCTGGGATCTGCTCCCATCACCCGGGCTCCAACCACATCTGACGCTGGTCCCTTCATCCCCTGGGATGGACCGCCTGGGAGCCACCAGCAGGACTTGGGGCCAGGGACGCAGGCAGTGCCAAGCCTCAGCTTCATGTCTCTTCCGCTCAGATCTGTGTGGGCGTGGGCAGGAGCAAGGATGCTGATGGCTTCATCCGCGTCAGCAGCGGCAAGAAGCGGGGTCTGGTGCCAGCCAACGTCCTGACCGAGATCTGAGAAGAGCCAAGAGAACCCGGAAGCCACCCCTGCCTGTGCCCGGCCCTTGCTTCTGGCCCCAGGAGGGGAGCAGGCCTCTGCCCACACTCTCTCTCCCTCTGCCCTTCTCCTTGGGGCCAGTCACCATGGCTTGGGAGGCTTCTGCACTGAGGAGGGTTTTATTTCATGGGTCCTGGGGTGCCCTGAGGAGGCTGCTGCTCTGAGACTTGGAGGTGGGGAGGAGGAGAGAGTGGGAGGGGATGGGAAAGCTCCAGGTGGGACCCCCTGGTGCCCATGCACTCCCAAAGCCCGTTGCCATGCTGAGTCCAGCCCTGAGAGGAAGTTCCTGGGGAACTTCCCTGCTGCCTCTTCCAGAGACCTTCCCCTGCCCACAGCATCTTTGCCTGCCTGACAGCTCCCCTCTCCTCACAGAGCCTCTGCTTGGGTCTTCGTGTGTGTGACCCTGCAGCTGCCCCTTTGGAAGTGGGGCCTTGGGAAGGTGCCTTCCCGGTCCCTTAGCCCCAGCTCTGGGTAGGGAGGGAATTCAGGGCTGCAGGAGGATCCTGGTCTCACCACCTCTGTCACTCCATCAATTCTCAGGAAAGTTCTGCGGTTCTCTCTCCCATTACTTGAAACCTGGGTGGACAGAGGAGGGGAGGGCTGAGGTCTGGGGAAGCTGTGGTAAATCAGAGACTGTCCCTCAAGTAGCACAGTCACCACAGAGCAGCCTCATCTTACCCTTGTGCACTGGGAAAGGACACCCAAGAGCGGCCTGAACACAGAAACCCGATTAAGAACAAAAGACTGGCCCACGCCTGCTCAAAATAACCCCCAGTTCACTGTCAGGACTCTAAAAGCTCAGTTCCTGTCCCAGTCCTCTCCAGGCCCACCCCAGGAACCCAACCTTCAGGGCTGACCCCGCAGTGACCCTCCCTCACCCCCTCTCTCCAGGCTCTGCAGGGGACAGGGCTGCCTTTGCAGGGGTTCCTTTTCTGGTTGCATCTGCTCCCTTGTCCAGGACACAGAGCCCTGGGAGGAAGAGGGAGTGGGAGACAGACAAAGAATTCTGTTGGAGCACCAGGAGGGGAAGGGGGTAGGCATCCTGGGGGGGGGGGGAACACGCAAAGAGGACCCCTCCCTTGCAGGTTGCTTCTCTATGGTACCAACTTCCCTCTCCCCCCAAGCTCAGAGCCTCCTCTTGTGCCCTTGATCGTGCCAGCCAATGCCACCCCCCATCCTAGGCACAGTCACACATCCTCCTACCCACTGGCCCCTGCCCCACCTCTCCCTCGCAGAGAGGGGTACTCAAGCCACACTGCCCTGTTTGCTGCCATGAGGGCCCCCCCCCACCTCCAGCAATGTCCCAGGGGCGGGCCCAATGCCCACTGTACATGAGGCTGCATGAGGCGTCTGCTGGGGCATTGCTGAGCCCCCAGACTCCTAATTAAATGTTTCTTGTCCCAACCTGTCTGCTCTATCTGCTTGGGCTAGAGAAAGGGAAGGGGGAAGGGGTCGGGGGGTGGTGGAGGTACGGAAAGGGGACAGCCTGAAGATCGGAGAATGCGCTCATCTCCGAGAGGAGGGGTATGGGGACAGCTGGCCCTGACAGTGAGGGTCCCCAAGCCTTCTCATTCCCTTCCACCCAAGCAGCCTGAGCCAGGCGGGATCTGAGGAAGTGGGGCAGGAGGTTTGGGGGACGCCGGAAAGAGAGAGGGTGGGGCTGCGGCCACTTTCGGGTTCGAGGCGCTCCTGCCTCGCGCAGGGGGCGGGCACACACCTCTGCGTCTGGACCGTTCCTGCCCAGGCAGAGATGCCCTCGGAGACCAGCAGTCTCCGTACCCAGGGTCGGGGGCGGGGGGGGCTCAATACCCACCCGAGATCAGCCTTGCCCCCGCAGCCCCCTAAACCCGAGGCAGATACGTTGGCGGCGAGGACAGCCGCGGACGGTGGGGCCCTGAGATGACTCATCGGGAGCCTGGCGCCAGGGGGCCGCGGTGGCGCCCCGCCCCCAGCGGTGCCCGCCGCCCACCTGCTCCGGCTGAGCCGCTTCTTTCCCGTCCGCACGGCCGGCCGCGTCATCGCCCAGGCGAGCACGTCCTGTGCTATTTATGGGGAGCGCCGAGAGGAGAGAGGGAGAGAGAGAGAGAGAAAGAGAGAGGGAGAGAGAGAGAGAGAGAGAGAGAGAGAGAGAGAGAGAGAGAGAGAGAGGGAGGGAGGGAGGGAGGGAGAGGGAGAGGGAGAGAGAGAGAGGGAGAGAGAGAGAGAGGCTGTGGCGGTGCCAGGGTAACGCCGTGCTGCCAGAATGCATCCGGCTCTGCCTTCCAGCCCCCCGAAATCAAGGTAGGCCCCGTGGGGCCAGACCCTGGGTCCCCAACCGCTTTCCTTGGGCTGCTTCAGGGATGACTCTAGAGCTTGGAGGTGGTAGGGGGAGCAGAAGGAGGGTGACCCCCTTCCTAGGACCCCTGATGATGGGACTGGATAAAGGGGTCACAAACCCAGTCCAGAGTCTTAAAAAGAGGGGAACTCACACAAACAGGCACCTACTGTGCCGGGGAAACTATGCCAGGAACTTAATTTTATTTTATCCTCTGAGGACCCAGTGAGGAAAGTGGTGGTGTCCCCTTTTCACAGATGATGAAACTGAGACCCAGAGATATTAGGTGGCTTGTCCACGGTCATACAAATTAGCCAGCCCAAGCTTTCCCCTTTTATACTTGGAGCAACTGAGGCCCAGAGCAGACTAGAAACTTGCCCAAGGTCACCGAGCAAATTAACAGTCAAACTGGTCTCAGAAATTCTATCTCTTGCCTCTCAGTTCAGCTCTTCCCCCACCTGACCCTGGGTTCCTCAGTGGCTTAAACCAGCACGATGGAAACAGAGACACCTTGAAATGCTGGGCCGGGGGCTCCAGGGATCAAGACCCTACTCCACTGGAGAGGGTCAGAGCCTTTCAGCCAAACCTTCTGCACACCAACTTGTGTCTGCACCGGCCAGCAGCTGGCCTGGACCCCTGCCTCCTCCCCAGCTCATCTGACGCACTGCTGAGCATAGCAGCTTCTTCCGGTGGTGGCTGGACCACTAACAGCACGCTCACAGCCTGGGGCTGGGAACAGCTGGTGCCCCCACTGTAGCCTCTGCCCTCCTCCGTGCCCACTCTGGGGGTGGCAGGACCAGCAACACCACTGGCCTGGGGCAGAGGATGTCAAGCAAACTGTGGTGGTGCCAACCCACCGTTTGGCTCTATTGTCTGACCCACACGTGCCCTCCATCCCCCCACCTCAGCCTGAGCTTAAGCTGGCATGTATCCTGTGGGGATTAAGGTTTAGGGGAGACACAAAAAGAGGGGGAGTCTGGGGGCAAGAGACAAGAGGCCTCAAAGGGCAGAGAGATGGATACGAGGCAGTGGGTGGGGACACAGGTCCCCTCTGTGCAACCCCACCCATTTTGCTAGCACCACTCTCTTTGGCCCCTTCAGCCTTTTTTTTACCCCCCCATTCTTAACACCCCCGCCCCAGTGCTTAGGACACTGGAGGCATCTGCTGGAGAGTGCGACCAGCCAGTGTACCTCCGGCCTCGGCCCTCCCTGTGCTTTGGGGAGCCAGCCTAGGTGGTCCGTCTCAGCCTCAGAGAGAGCACCCACTGTACCCTGTACCCCTCCTCCAGCTCGTGGCCCTGCAGCAGCAGCTGTGCTCCGTACCTCTCGGCTGCAGCCCCCTCTGAGTCACCCCCTCCCACGTCTGGTCTGGAGGACTCAAAGGTGGGTGCTAGTGTTCAAGCCACACTGGTATTCTGGGGCGTCATTGGCCCCTCCAGGACTCAGTTTCCTCCTCCAGAAATGGAGTTGGACTTGCTCATGGAGTCTTTACCTCAGGGCCATGAGCCCCTTTAAAGGGTAAAATTATATGATGGGACCAGTTGCAAACTCTTGAGAGAATGGACATGTCTTTTCATCAGAATTCCACAGGGCTCCAGGACCTGGAAGAGACCCAGCGGTTACTTTAAGAGGTCTGCCTGCTAAGGGGGCCCTCCTAGGCCCTGCCCCAGGAAGGGCTTAGAGGCCTGTGGTGGAAAGAGGTAAGCTTAGGCCTGGGGTGAGCTTCAGAAAGAAGTGTCTTCTACATGCAAGGCTTCCCAAGAGATAGGCTCCTACAACCTGATTCTTCCTCCCCCCCCCACCACTCCGCCAAAAGTGAGGCAGTTTCCTACACCTTCAGTGACCTGTGAGAGAACAGCACCATCTCCTGGTCCATGGTGGAAACCTTTTCTGTGCTGCAGGCTCACGAGCCTCAGTAAAGGTCCTTATCTCCTTCCTGTCATCCCTCTACTGCCTGGAGGAAGTGGAGGTGGGCGGCCTTCAATGCCCTTCCTCTTCTGAGAAGAAGGCATCTCACGCTCCAGCTCCAAGTAGCTTAGCCGAGGCCCTTCTTCCAGGCCACAGCTTCCCCATGTGGAATAACAGGCTTAGAGCACGCCTAAGGATACATTAAGCACAGGCTGCTATGGCGGCAACAGGGAAACCAAAAAGCAGTGTCCTCTCAGCTGGGGCTCTGATGCACGTGGGTGGTGATGGAGGTTGTCTGGACTATTCCGTCCGGGCCTCCCTGGCTTGGGCTACCCACATCCCTACCTGTCCAGACTGGACGAGGACACTGCAGGCAGAGCTGGGGATAGGTCTGCTGCCCCCAGGATCGCTTTAGCCCTGCCTTTCCCACACCAAGTGCAGATGGAAACATGTGCCCAGTACACATCCTGAAGACCCCTCATTGGCCTTCGCATTACTGCCCACAAGAGTTCCTCAGAGACCGGTAGACTGCAGAGGTAACCAGGACAGGCACACCAGCCATAGCTGTGCCCAACTTTCCTCCCCCGACTTCTCACCTGAGCTGACACTCCTGTATTTAACTGGCTGACTGACCCCTTCCACCTGGACACCTGTCACTCAAACTGCCACCCACTCAAAATGTTCAACTTCCAGGCATCCTCCCCACCACAACTAGTTTCTTCTCCTGATCACCAAAGGCATCTTCTGCCCAGTCCTCCAAAGCTCGAGGCCTGGGGACCAAGCTAGCCTTCTTCCTGAGGCCTCCGTAGTAAGTCTACAAAGTCCTATCTTACTTCATCTTGAACCCATTTTTCCCATTCAGGTCGTCTTAACAGGTGAATCCAACACCTGGCTTCACCTCTTTTCTCATCTGCAAAATGGAGAAGCTAATACCCTACTTTACAATGTTGTGAAAATTATAGAATCAATACAAGTCAGTGTAAAGTGCCTCAGTACTTGGCTCACAGAGCAGATACTTTACTGAAAAGTTCACTGGTGGTTACTACTACCAGTTAATAGGCAAAATAAAACCTACTTCTCATTTGTAAAAAGGGATATGAATTAAGTAACTCAAAATTGCTGTGACAAATTTGTATGTTATGTGCCTTTATTCCAATTTCTGCTGAGAAAGCCTTTTTTCTTTGGGACATTTTTGACGGTTATAAACCAAAAAACAAAACAGGAAACAATCCTTCTTTTAAGGACAGGAAAGAAAAAAAGTTTAGAAATAGAAATTGGGATGCTCAAGATGACAGCTCCAGTTCTATCTCAATAAGGCTGTCTGAAGACAGCTTAGGCAGTCGTCAGCAGTTCAAGTCCAGACCATACCTTCTGCACTGGTGGTGGTTCAAATTCCCACCGTCCTGGAGTTCCAAGGCAGTAGACCACAACCTTGAACCTCAGTGCAGCTGAGCAGTGCAAGCATATATTTTCTGTTGTTTTAAAATAATGTGGCAACTCACGTCACAACTGAATACTGGTTCCCAACCAACATTTGAGACCATGTCTGAGGTGCCACTCATGCTCTGCTGAAAAGAGCAGTTTTGAGGCACAGTCTTTGAGGCTTGGGTAGGAGCCATTCCTCTCCTCCCTTCAAAGTAGGCCCCACACCCCACGGACGGAGGGGGCATGAGCCTGACCAGAGGCCAGGAGCCAAGGAAGAAATAAAGCAGGAACCCAGGGAAGGGCCTGTATCTCATTCCTCGGTTCTGGCCCTGTAAACAGTGAAGACCCACCAAGCAGCCAGAGACTGGAAGCAGAGAGGCAGGCAGATAAAGCCTTGTTTTTTATTGAATG